AATTATAATTACAGTGAATGTGAAGAATTTTTAATCCAAACCATACCATGCTAGTACAAGAGCGTTTCCAAATTTCTGTACACTTAGTCATTATAGTATTTGTTACCAGTATATTTGGTTGTGTAAATAGCTCTCACTTCCTGAGAGAGTCAGATTAAATATTTCGTTGCTTTGAAAGTGTCCCACTTATTGACATTTGAGCGTTTAAAGCGTGTTCTCGTGGATCAGATCAAACTCACTTATCGAGAATCGCTTAGAGAATGCAAACATTGTTATGTGCCAACGATAGAGAGACATCAGCATCTGGTGATAATTTGTTTGGCATAACTTTACTCCAATACCTCCAGGCATTTCACACAAAGACCCCACTCGAAGATTATACACTTTTTCTTTGTTTTAGGGGTATGCTTTGAAAAATTAACAAGAAGATTACTCCATCGAACAGCGAGGGTATCATAAACTTGTAATTCGAACGAGTTGGAGACATGGATAACAGAACGATAAAACGGGTCAATGCATATTATAATATAGAGCATTATCTTAACTTCCTGAACTCTGAATCAAAGTAAATACTTTCATATTAAATCTTCACTGTGAGATATATTAACGTCAGGATTGTTTGCTTCCTATTTGGATTTGGATTTTTTTTTTGTGGGAGGATGGGGGGGTTACACACAGGAAGGAACGATTTGCTTGGATGACCCAATTTGTATGCAAACGTTTTAGAAGCTCGATAATGTCATATTTATAGTAAGCCCATTAGCCATAGAACGTTTTCTACGCGATATTTCATTTAAAAAGAAGCATTTTAAAGCGATCGCAGGGAGGACTTAGTGCCGATCGCTGTGGTGGTGGTCAGGCTGTAGGCTACTCTTTGTCGTATGCAGTTGTTTGGGTTACTGCTCCTAGAGTTTGGAGGTAGCTATTTTCGTCCTCTGTCTCCATTTCTATTTTGTTTTGTTTGTTTTTGTTGGGTTTTTCCCCCATTTTTCTTGTTTGTCTAGTGGATATATTATTGTTCTGGAAGAGTGGTGGGCGTGTGTGAGGGAGGGAAGGGGTGGGGCGGGGATGTAAGGGTATGGGTGGGGGTGGGTTTGCGTGTCAGTGTGTGTGTGTGGAGAGGTGGGAGGGGTGTGTGCATGTGCTTAATAGTATGTGTGTGCTTAGATCTATGTGTGTGTGTGTGTGTGTGCGTGCGTGTGTGTTTGTGTGCGGTGCGAGCACGTGTGTGAGAGTGTGTGCATTTAAAAGAGAGAGAGAGAGAGAGAGAGAGAGAGAGAGAGAGAGAGAGAGAGAAAGAGACAGAGAGAAAGAAAGAGAGAGAGAGAGAGAGAGAGAGAGAGGGGGGGGTGAGGGGCAGGCAAGCGTAACGTGAGACAAAGAGGAGGGAGGCACACACAGAGGTAAACCGTTTCTGTTACTCTCCTCCTCCTCCTCCTCCTCCTCCTCCTCCTCCTCCTCCTCCTCCTCCTCCTGTAGTAGTAGTAGTAGTAGTAGTAGTAGTAGTAGTAGTAGTAGTAGTAGTAGTAGTAGCAGCAGCAATAGTAGTAGTAGTAGTAGTAGTAGTAGTAGTAGTAGTAGTAGTAGTAGTAGTAGTAGTAGTAGTAGTAGTAGTAGTAGTAGTAGTAGTAGTAGTAGTAGTAGTAGTAGTAGTAGTAATAATAATAATAATAATGTTAAAAATATTAATAATAATAATAATTTTTAAAGTCCCGAATGAAATCGCATAACAAAACATACAGAAAATACGAAGAATGTATACGATCCATCCTAGCAGATTGTTACTGTTTACCACAGTTCAAATGTACAAAAACACTATTTTTCTTTATCAATGCACTGACGAGCCCTTTTTTCAGCCCCATCAAAAAAAAATTTATTCATCCACTATTATATTTAACAGAGGTGTGTTCCGTTAGCTAAGTTGGTATCGTGCTGAACTACGGAGCTGACGGCCGTGGGTCGAATCCCAGACTGGATGTTTTTTAACTCTAGCTGTTTTGTGAAGGTGTCAAGGCTCTCAGCCCATTTCGCCTGGTTCTGTCGGAAACGGACGTAAAATTTGGAGGTCAAACCTCTTAAATAAAATAATAGTGATGATGGGATAGTTTTAGTTTTAGTACGTGTTTTACGGCACTTGCAACACAATAGGGTCATATAAGTGCTGAAGATTAGAGGTGTTACAAGAGAGTAAAATACACAAAAAAGAAGGAAGAGAGATAAAGACAACAGACGTTTGATAGAAAAGAAGGAGCAAACCACACCAGAGCACCCACGAACCACCCAAACATTTTCTTAACTCCAAGAAGATCTGTCCGGTCAATAGGTAAAACATTAACCCAGCTAGGACGGCCATTCCGGGACAACTCGCCACCTCAGAATTTCAAAGTTCTTTCTGACAATTTTAGGCTGTTTTAAGTTACTAAGACGATGAAGTCAGAAACCAAATGATCTCTCTGCTCTATCAAAACCGTATAATGTGAGGCAGCATGATGGAATCAGGCTCTCGTCAGTTTTTGGGCATGTACAGTTAATGGTATCATCTTAAAGCGTGTTCACTTGTCCTTATTTGAATGAAAAAAAAAATATACATTTAATTTGAATACAAGTCGAGATATTTGCAAATGAAGGAGGTGTGGGTCACCTGTTTTCAGAGGTAAAATAAGTGAGAAAATGGCCGCCAAAGATTAGATATTTCCTTAGCTTAAGAGTCCGTGGTAACTGAAAACTTTCATTTTTTGTGTCTTTAATCCACATTTTAAAGAAAAATCCACACAGAAATGAGTTCTTTAATGGGCATGAAAGGTGTTGAGCCAAAAAAACCAAAAAATTGATAAAAATTCACAAACCCGTGGAAAAATGTAAGTTTCTTCACTTGGATTATTTTGACGAGAGCCTGATTCCCCCACGCTGCCTCATAAATGGTCTATCTGCTCTATAAAAACCGTAATATTTCTCGGGAGTTTTCATCAAGATATTCTGTGCCAATTTGTAAGGGCGAAGGGAAGAAATAAAACGAGGAAATACAAAAAGAAGTTCATTTAGGCTGCTCACTAAAAAGAACAATAATGAAGCGACAAGTCTTGTTTCTGAGACACTTGGATCGACCTTATATGGGCTCCCTCGAGGGGGAAAATGCAGAAGGCAAGCGAGGCAGAGGTTGACCCGGAGAGACGTATTTGGAAAACGTGAACAATGATGAGGAAACACCAATGTAATATTATAGGTTTTCTGAAAACATCCGAGTGGAGAGGAGATATGAATAAAGAACAGCAATCGCTGATTTTTGTTTTAGATGTGGCACTTTACGATGATGATGATGATGATGATGATGATGATGACGATGATGATGATGATGATGATGATGATGATGATGATGATGATGATGATGATGATGATGATGATTTTTTTGTTTCCTTAATGAGCCTGACGGACTTCACGAAAAAATCTTCGAGCGAGAGCGAGGCTCTTTTTCGGCTCCATTGTCAATATGCTTAGCGGCACCTCCACTCGTCCAAATAACTCCATTCGATTTGACATTGTTCCTGATGATGATGATGATGATGATGATGATGATGATGATGATGATGATGATGATGGTGGTGGTGATTTGAGTTTTTATTTTAAAACTTGTTTTTTGTTACTCGTGTGAAGGACCGACATCACTGCACAAGGGGCATCCCCATAAGCTCTCCGTCCCTTGAAGAAGTACATTTTTATTAAATATTTAAATTCAATTTAATTTTAAATTGAAGAAAAAATCACCAGCACTGATATACATGTAGTTTGGAAAGCGGTTCCACAAACCAGTGCCTGTAAAAGTAAAACTCATTCTATATAGTATTATTTTTGTGTGTTACGACACGGTTAAATCAGCGCTCGTCAATTTTGAGGCATATGGGTTTATTGATATCATCTTAGACCTTGCTCGTTCGCCTTGCTTTTGATGAAAATGCATCCAATTATCTTGAACAGAAGTCCGGATATTTGCCATTGAAGGAGGTGGGGGTCGCCTGATGCCAAAGGTACAAATGTTATATTTTTTATATTGCCAGAAAATGGCCGAAAATGTTTAATGTCTTCCAAGCTTATGCGTCCTTGGATAATGAGAATTTAAACATTTTTTGGGGTGCATTTGACCGTTTTTCAGCAAAATCCTCGCAGAAATGCGATTTTAAATATACATTAAAATATCTTTTGAGATCATTTATTTAGAGTTTTACCAACTGCTACAAACGTTCTCCATGATTTTGTTTTCATTTTTCAGTGTTTCAAATAAATAGGATATGCAAAAGTAAACTTTTAAAAATATTTCATTTATTATTGTTATTATTATTTTATTTTTTTAATTATTATTATTATTATTATTATTACTATTATTATTATTATTATCATTATTATTATTATTATTTTTATTATTATTATTATCATTATTATTATCATCATCACCATTATTATTATTATTATTATTATTATTATTATCATTATTAATATTATTATTATTATAACAATAATCGTTCGTCCTTCAATGTCTGACGATGACAATTTTGTGTCTGTAGTGGAAAATATCTCTCAAAGAGATGGATCAACAACTCTCGGTATAAGTTTACACATGTCGCAGGCAAGTTTTATGTTGCAGGTTGTTTACAAATCTACAAAAGCATATTATTATGATGGATTTAAAATCCTTTTCAACAAAATTGTGTTGTTTAAATGCCAAGACCACTGAAATAACGTCACTCCAAACAGATGGGGAGCCTTGAACATCCTCAAACCGTCCTACTTTAATAGCATTCTGTTTGGGATTCGAACCAGCATCGTTCTTATCAGTGCCCGATAGGATACCAACTGGGCCAAGGGTGCACTCTTGTTTCAAGGAACGTGTTGTGTATGATGCATAGACGTACATATTTGTCTGTGAGAATAATATGTACATTTTCATGGGTTTTTTACATTTCATTTCATGTAATTTTCGTTTTTTCACTTTGTATGTTTTCTTATAGAAACAAGGCCCCCACACCTGCACAAGTCCTCACAGGCTAAGCAGCATAAAGCGTTGGTGACAAAGATGGATGCCGGGAACAGAAGCAAGCCAGAGTCCCCAGAACCACAGCGTACAGGTCTAGTGAATGACGAAGTCCTTGACGTATTTGTCGTCCTTTTCTTCGTCGTCGCTTCAGGAACCATCAGCTTCTTCGGCGTCCTATTCAACATGGTCAATGTCATCGTGTTCTATAAGCAGGGCTTCAAAGACACGGTCAACATTACTCTGTTTGGGCTGGCCATCTCCGATATGGGTTCCCTCGTGACACTTCTCTGGATGAGCATCTGCTTCAACCCGTGGTTCGCCAACGCCGATCTGCCCTTCGATCATCAAGACATTCAGTATCTCACGGCTGGGTGGCCGCATGTTTGCTTCGCGCGCATCACCAGTTGGATCACAGCCTTTGTCACGTTCGAGAGGTGTCTGTGTATCGCTCTGCCCCTCAAAGTGAAGACGATTCTAACACCGAGAAGAACGGTTATCGTCATTGTCTCTATATATTTCGTGATGATAGCGAGCGTCTCACCCGTGTACTACTCGATCAGACTCGGCCCAAAATATTTTCCTCAAAGAAACGAGACAAAGATAGGATTAGTTTACCGACCGAGTGGTCCCTTTATCGAGAACGTTTCTTTTTCCATCAATGTCTTTGCCCAGCTGGCTTCCTTCTTCTCGGTTATCGTCTGCACTGCAATCCTTGTCCAGAATCTTCTTCTTAAATCAAAATGGCGGCAGGCGACTTCGAGCTCCGCGAAGCAGGATACGTTTACGAATAGAGACAAGAAAGTGGTCAAGATGATTCTCTTTATTTCGAGTATATTCATCGCTTGTTTCTTGCCCAGCGCAGTTAACCTGATTGCGATGATTATCTCTGCCGAATACAGCATCGTTGGTAGATATCAAAACATGTTTTTGGTAACATGGGCCATCTTTAATTCGCTGGAAGCAAATAATTCTACTGTGAACATATTTGTGTATTACAACATGAGCTCAAAATACAGAGAAATTCTAGACAAAATGGTAAACAAGAAGCAAATTAAAAAGTGAAGGGAACTCTGAATATGAAAATAGATTTGTATGAATGGATAACGAAACAGACACGGAACGAAAACCTGGATGATTTCAAGGGGACGCAAATTGCTGGAAAGAAAAGAAAAACCTATACGTAATATAATATAACAATATCTCTGAAGTAATATTTAACTGAAACACGTCTTTTCCACACAAATTTGAGAAATCATTTTCTTTAGTTTTAGTTAGATACAATCTGCTTTATATATATATATATATATATATATATATATATATATATATATATATATATATATATGTATATATATATATATATATATATATATATATATATATATATATATAATTATACATTTACAAAATTGATTGTCCTATTTATCTAAAAGCACAGAGTCATCTGGACTCGCTTCAGATTCTGTATCATACATCTATATGCCACATGACCGGAAAAATGAGCTTTTATTTGTGTTTTTATTGCTTCACCGAGAATCTCAATGAAAACCATTACTACTTGTTCCCTCATTGTAGGTCAGTAGTGTGTCCAAGTGTCAGGCCCTTTAAGATCACGTGTTTTTGTCTTTGAAGTGTGTAGCTGGAAATAAAATGAAACACTTACTACCATTTTTATCGTTTCTTCTGTCAGAGTCATAGACAAATCGCAACATCAGAATTACAAAGTTCTATCTGTTATTTCTAGCTGTTTTGAGTAACTAAGACCTTGAAATAAGAAAGCGAATGCTCTATCTGCTCTATCTAGACGATAAGAATGTTCGGAGTCGTTGTCAAGATATTCTAGGAATTGCACCTAAAAAAGCTTCACATATTTATTGTGAAACTTAATTGACGTCAAATTTCTCAAAACTAGGTACTGAGCTTATGGAACTTCGTAGTTCTGAGGTGGCGACATACCAAAGATGGGGGAAAGAACCTTAGGTAACAGAAAGGTACTCGTAGTTTCTTAAGAGACTGTTGAAAATTTCATGTAGAGAAAAATGAACAAATGAGGCGGTGCTGAAAGACCCAGCTTGGGCCACGCTGTAATTAAAATTATAATAAGAAAAAGACAAATAGATTCAGTTTCTTGACACCCGCGTAGACATGAAGGCCTTGAACATATGTGTCAGGACGCGGTGGAATCAGGCACTCGTCAATGTTTGGGCATGTAGAGTTATTGGTATCAACTAAAAGCTTATTAATTTTCCTTGCTTTTAATGTAAAAAATACCCATCTATCTTGAATAGAAGTCGAGATATTTGCGATTGAAGGAAGTGGGGTCACTTATTTTCAGTGATAAATTAGCGAACAAGTGGCCGACAAATTTCGGTAACTTCAATAACTTGTGAGTCCCTCAATACTGAAAAATTACATATTTTGTGCCTTTAATCGGCATTTTCAGTCAAATTCAAATAGAAATGTGTTACAGTATGGACACAAAGTGTTGAGCCAAAAGACAAAATTTGAAAAAATTGCCAAATTGGTGAGAAATGCCTGTTTCTTCGATTTTATTATTTTGACGAGCGTCTGATTTCACCACATACCTCACATATTCCTCTCACTGGAAATATAGAAGAAAAAAGAAGCAGGGGTAGACCAGGAACTAAGTAAGTTTAGGGAATGTGAACTGAAAAGACCAGAGCAACACGTGGACTTGTTTTGTTTGTTTTGTTTTTTGTGTGTTTTTTTATTTGTTTGTTTGTTTGTTTTTTTGTTCTTTGTTTGTTTGTTTTTTGTTTTTTTTGTTCTTTGCTGTTTTTGGTTTTTTTACTTACTAAACAGAAAAATCGTAACCTCAGAATTATAAAGTTCTATATCACATTTTTCATTTTTGACCGTTTTGAGTTACTAAGACCATGAGATCAGAAGCCAGTTGATGTTCTATAATAATGATAATATGCTCTATCAAAATCGTAAGATTACTCCCAGTCGCTAGCAAGATATTCATAGAATCACATTCTAAAAAGCATGACATGTTGTGAAACTCAAAATTTTTAACATCAAATTTCTCAAAACTTCGTAATGAGCAAATAGAACTTTGTAATTCTAGAGAAGCGAAATGAATGGCGAACAATGTTTGCCGAAGTCTGTTTCAGATCTTGCAAGCCTTGATGATGAGTCAGATCTATACAAAGCACTTTGGATAACTCGTCTGCATGCGATCAGAGTACAACTCTCTGAGGAGATCAATGTGAATTAAGCTGAAAACTTTCCCGGTGTTTGTGGTGTAGCAGTTAGATGTTTTGTCGTCGCAAGCAGGAGACCAGAGTTCAATTCCCGATTGGAGAGGAATGTGAGGCAGTGTGGTGGAATCAGGCTCTTGTCAAAATAATTAAAGTGAAGAAGCTTGCATTTTTCTGCAGTTTTGTGAATTTTAATGAAAATTTTGTTTTTTGACTCAGCACCTTTCATGCCCATTAAAAAACCCATTTCTGTGTGGATTTTTCTGAAAAGCGTTGATTAAAGGCACAAAAATGTAAATTTTCAGTTACCACAGACTCTTAAGCAAAGTAAATAACTGATCTTTGGCGGCCATTTTCTCACTAATTTTACGTCTGAAAACAGGTGACCCCCACCTCATTCTTTCGCAAATATCGCGACTTGTATTCAAGATAAATGAATATTTTTTCATCCAAATAAAGACAAGTGAACAAGCTTTAAGATGATACCAATAACTGTACATGCCCAAAAATTGACGAGAGCCTGATTCCACCACGCTGCCTCACAAATGTCTATTGAGTATTCCAGTCTTTCTGCTGGGACGTTACATCCCTCTCAGCCCTGGCATGAGATGTGTCCGCTGGGAATCTGTACTTTTCTCAGTCTGGGTTGGCCCTGACAGGTAGGATCAGAAGCCTGCCTCCTAAATGATCTAAAGGAGAGAGAGAGAGAGAGAGAGAGAGAGAGAGAGAGAGAGAGAGAGAGAGAGATTCCACTCCTTCATACCCCCACACAACGGTGTAAGAAATACACAAGGTGTTGTTGTGACACTATCCATAATATAAAACAAAAGACGAATATTGAAACACAATGTGTTCATGTAATAATATTCATAATAAAGTAAAACCAAACAAGAATACTGAAAGACAAGATGTTCATGTAATAACATTTTTAAATATAAAACAAAACACAAATATTGAAACACAAGGTATTCATGAAATAACATTTTTAAATATCAAACAAAACACGAATATTGAAGAACAAGATATTCATGAAATAATATTTTTCAGTATAAAACAAAACACGAATATTGAAAGACAAGGTATTCATGAAAAATATTTTTTTATATAAAACAAAACACGAATATTGAAAGACAAGGTATTCATGAAAAAATATTTTTAAATATAAAACACAACACGAATAATGAAAGACAAGCTAAACACGAATATTGAAAGAACTCGTACAGTTTCTGTGAAGGACAAAAAAGGAAACAGAGATAGGAGGAGATAAAAAGGAATTAAAGAGATAGAAGGAGGAAAAGAATCAATAACAGAAACACGCTCAGTTCGTTAACGGTCTTTCTTCATCCACGCATGCAAGCATAGGCGGGCTTTACTTTTTTATTTGTTTGTTTGGTTTTAGTAAGTATTTTACAGTATTAGCAACACAATTAAGTCAATATAAGTGCCGAAGATTAGAGGTGTTACAAAAACATAACAAACACCATAATCGGCACAATAAACAGATGTGTGATAGGAAAGAAGAAACATACAAAACCAGAGCAGCCGCCAACCACCCTCATGGAAGGATTTCACATCAAATGTAAATGTGTGTGCTTTGTTAACCATAAGCATACTACATCAGAGCACCCGCCAACCACACACATAGAAGAAGTGTTCAAGTGTTAACATCAAATTTAGTGTGTGTGTGTGTGTGCGTGTGTGTGTGTGTGTGTGTGTGTGTGTGTGTGTGTGTGTGTGTATGTGTTTGTGTGTGTGTTTGTGTGTGTGAGAGATCTGTGAGTGGTAGGTCGGGATGACGGTCTGCAGCCTTGTAATAAAGATCTTGAACTTGGAAGGGAGATATCATGGTGGC